CTGCAGCCCACCCTGATTCCGCCTCTGTTCACCTGATTCCGCCTGATTCCGCCTCTGTTACTGATGTCTGTCATTGCTTATGCGAACACACGAGTGCATAAACACATATTGTCCGTTGCTGTCGGCGCGACCCTGAGCCCAAATAACAATAGACTTCCTGTTTGGAAATGCGATGACCACTTCATTGCTGCTCCCAGTTAACGACTTACCACGTCCTTCCCATGCGCCTCCCTTAACGCTGTGGAACCGCTGTTAACTAAACTGGAGGCCTGACGTGTATATAAGTAAGAGGTGACCGAAGTTCCCAAACGTCAGGACTCGGCCTCGAACGATTGCTTTAGAACACTGGCGAAAACACGTGTTGGGAAGACGTTTGATCAAGGGAGAGGCTTTGTCTCGCTATCGTCCAAATGAAGTCCGACGTGGCGACTGAACGCCGACCGCGTTAAGTTCTAGCACCGAAGCGTCACGGTCCTGCCGGAGCGGATGGCGCTGTGCCGTGTCGGGGAGTCCGCCGGCGCGGCCGCTGCCCGGCGCCGGCGCGAGCGGTCAGCGCCGCCGCCGCCGCCGCCCGAGCCGTCACGGTCGGCCGCCTGCCGCCCGCCGCCGTAACGTGCCGTGTTGTAAGCGCGCCAGTGGCAGACGGGCGTGTCGTCGGCGAACGCCCATCCCCCGCGCAACACACGGCGTTCCCGTGACGTGCCGTTCCCGTTGGTCAATAGGCATGACGCGTCGTGGTCCCTCCGGTTGGCGTAACCAAACGTCACGGCTGTGACCACGGCTTTTAATCAGGTGTTTACGGCGCATCTTTTTGAAGAGCGGGGCAAGCAGGTTTAGCTTCCTCTCAGCTGCTCAAATGGGGTTATAGTGAAACGTCACCGTTGACCGCTTTGGCGCTCTGGGGTACTTGGCGGGTGCCCCGTCCCAGGCGCTGGTTTCCGGGAGGCAGCTGACAGGTGTCTGCGGTCTGGTAACGGACGCCGTACCAGCCGTCTGGCTGTTGAAGCGGCCGTGGGTGGCCGGCCGCCGCCAGCTCAGGTTAGCGGACCGCTGGTCAGTGGGACCAGAGGTGGCTGCTGATCAGCACAAAAGCCGGACGTGGCGTGTCTCTGGCTGACCCCAGCACCTGGCAGCTGGTGCTCGCAGCTGGTCGTAGCCACGGCGTCGCTTCCGGCCCAGACTTCCTCTTCTCGCATTTGGACGGAAATGACCAACGGCCGGCTGCGACCGCACAAGATTGGGACAGGGCCAGCGCAGCAGGTTACTGCGTTGACCGCTTCGCTCTCGGAGAGGACCAACCACTCAGTCGGCTAGCCAGCTGACGGCTCTCAGATGCGCGACCTTTATGATCCTGTCATATTTAACCGAGCTGCGTGGAGGGGCGATTTCCCACTTTTTATGTTTTTTCATGGCGGGAGAACTTCAGTTTTCAACCCAGGTACAGCCCCCTTAGCCTACCATGAGCCTGTCTGAGCTCTGAACCATTGCATGCTACACGAGCACGTATTGCATACCAAGTCAAACCCTGGGCAGTTAGGCGGCAGGTTGTTATCACGTTCACGGGCGTGACCTTGCCGCCCCTGGATTCCTCAGCCCGAGCCGTACGCGTTTGTGTACGTATGGGTGGTAGCTGGGAGGGTACCGGTGACGTGGCGCGACGGGTGTCCGTGTCTCTGGTAGCTGGGAGAGTGTCGGTGGCGCGGTGCGACGTGTGTCCGTGTCTCCCGTCGGCCGATTCCGACCGGGATCGGTACCGGGCCGAGACGCCGCCGTGACGCGTCCCCGCCTGACCTCTGTCCCCGGCGCGGGCGTGTGTGTACACAGAGCGGCGGCGCCGTGCCAGTCGGGGCCGGCGCGGCTCTCCTACCCTCCCCCCCCGCCCCCCGCCCCTCTCCGTACCGCTGCGTGCTACGCCTGCCGGGAATGCTGGCCGGGCTGTGGGCCACGATTCCGGGTAGGTGCCGGTCACGAGCGGGCGTGTGCAACGCACCGCGGCCTGTGGCCCCCTTTGAAGTGTGTCTGTCTCGGCCGGCGCCGACTGCCAGGTGCGGACGTGACCGGCCGCTGCACCCGAACGCAAGGCTATCGCTCGTTGAGCCCAAGGTTATCTCAGAGCATGCGGCGATTATGTGATAGCGTTGCTGCCGATCGAACTGGGGCGCGCGCCGCCGGAGCGCCGGGCAAGCCGCGCTTCCGAACAAGTTTTTGTGCAGCCTGGTTTGTGGTAGACCATCGCTCCATGGGTAAAGGTTGAGTGAGGAACAGGTGGCAAGGCAAACAACCCCGCTGTTCGGGTTACTGGTCGTGTGACTGAGCCTTGTAGTACTGTTGAAAACATGCGTTCGGCGGCTCACATCGGGTTTCCCAAGCGGGCGGTAATGAGTTGCGGTGTGGACGCGTGTTATGTAACGCGGCGTGCGCTACGGCAGCGTACAATTGCACACCACCCCGCTTATGTAACGCGATACCGGAACGAGAAGTGCCGTGCAAACACACCGAATATGCGAAACAAGGGAGGTTATGGTGACGCGCACGCTCCCTTCCATGTGCGTCAAAATATCGTTGACAGTTGTTTTTCTTCGGGATGAACCTGTCGGGGAGAATTGTGTTCTCCAAATGGCGAGCAATCGGCACGAGCCAAGCTGCCGGTCGGCGGATGTGACCAAGTGCTGACAAGTCGAGCTAAGACGTTTTTAGACACCGGAACTGCCTATTGACAAAGGATGTGCTCAGGGTCCAATCGTGGGTTCTGCTGAGCTCCGAGGGTCGCACGCGCGCGCAAAATGCACGAAGACCGATCTTTTGCAGAGCAGATGTGCGTTCTCACCGCATGGCCCGGTTTGCATTGCAAGTGCGTATTGAGGAATCCTGGCTGCTCTGCGACTGCGCCGTGTAAGATACTTGCTTCGTTGAAAACCAACCCAGTGCTACCCCGACGTGATTGGACAAGGATTAGCACACCGTTAATTTTCTAGTTTGTTGGCTATTGCAATCCGGAAATTTCCTCTTCAGTCGGCAAATCGAACATGTGGGCTTGAGTTGTCTGAAACATCGCGGCGGGTTATCCGGTTCTTCTGCAGAGACATCAGCCATCAGTTTGTATGTTCTTTTGAGGCGGATTTTCGTCGCCGTCGCCGTCGTCATTTTCCGATAGCATGGAATCTGCACTGTCAGGCGGGATAGAACATTGATACACATCACGTTTCCACTGAAGTGGATCGGTATGCTCCATTTTCCCTTCGTTTGTATTTGCCGCGGACAGATTGCCCTCATGTCCATTGTTTGTATCAGGCACGGCCGTTGCTCGTATGCATGGTAGGTACCACTCGACTCCACGGCTGTTTTAAAAGGTATTGCTGAACGGCGAGTGACAGCCGTGACCTCTGTCGCCGGCTGGCGAGCCGGAGCGGGACAGCCTGTCCCGACAGTGGAGCGGCGTGCGGGCGGGGCGGGCGTGTCGCTCAGTGCTGCGCGGCGATACCGCTGGACGACCGGCACTGGCACACCTCACGTGTTTGCCGCTAACACAGCCGCCATGTGGCGCATCGTGTTCCATGGCATGTCGTCTAGTATTGGCCAGTCGGCGTGGTCGACCGAGCCCAGGTCGGCCCGCTGCCGCCGGCTGGCGGTGGGGCCAGCGCCGGGCCGTGAGCCTGCCAGCCGGGCGGCTCCGCTCCGCTGGCCTCCGTGTGTGTTATTGGGACAGCGGGGGAGGGAGGGAGCGGGGCATTGTTCGGACGTGCGCGGACGAACGTCCCGTGTCCGCCCCCTGACCTTTGTACGGACGCCGAGTGGCGCCGCCCCTGGCCGCGGCGGTGGTGGTCGCCGGCCGGCCCCGCTACGCCCGCCGTCGCCACCCGGCACGGAACTCGTGACCGGAACGGGGCGTCCGATCGCTGCTGGTATTTATGTGGGACGTCGGCTGCCACGTTTCTGTGGAATGTTGCAACTTGTAAAACAGAGCTGCTCGAAAAACCATCTCCGCATGGACGGCGTCAATGGGCGGCATCTGCCTTGGTGCATCTTCGCCGTGTGCCGTTGCGGTTGGCGGCGTCGGTGGGTTCGTGCCGTGCGGTGCCGTGCCGTGTAGGCAGTCGCGTGCTCCTTATGACCCCGCCCGTTGTCCGGCAGACAGTCGGTGCTAGAGGCGTTGGGCGTCCCCAGACCGGCGCCGTCCCGACCGGCCCGAGCACAGCTGTCCGGACCACCGACCGCCCCGCGCCGCCATGGCGTCCGCCCGCCGCCCAAGAAGAAGCCACCGCCTCGGCCGCCGCCGCCCAAGTTCCAGGTAGCGCCGACCGCCCATTCGGACTGGCTTTGTAGATGGAGAAGGTGCATTATAACACAGGAAACAGGATGTTACAGCCGTGCCTCAGGGAGGTACATAACCCGTATGACGCTCGAAATGTAAGTTGCAACGCTGGCCTGACCCGCGGTGTGGAAATGTGCGGTTCCATCATCGCGTACACTGCTGTTGAACTGTTGTGTCGCTGCGCCTGTCTGCGCGCCGGTCCTGTCCGGACTGACGGCCTTTCCTGCCCGACAGGACGCGCCGCCCACCTACGAGCAGGTGCTGCGTGAGGATGCGGCCACGCTGGCCGGATTCGGGTTCGGCGGCGAGCGCTGCAGCTCAGCGCCGCCGCCAACCGAGGGCGACGACCTGATCAACTTTGATGCGCCGCCGCTGCCAGCGGCTGTGGCGCCGCTCACCTGGGACACGCCACCACAGGCCTCTATCCGCCGCTCTGAGACAGCGCCGGCCCTGGCTCCGGCTCCTGCTCCGGCCTCGGCTCCGGCCCCAGCTCCGGCCCCGGCTCCGACAGTGACGGTGATCCGTCCGGTGAAGCCTGCCGGCGCGGTGGCGCGCAGCCTGGCGCGCCTGCGCTTGCCGCCGCCAGCCGCCGCCGCCGAGCCGGCCGAGGAGCGGGACTCGCCGCCGATGCCGTCGGTGCCGCCGCCGCCGCCGCCGGTGCTCGGCCAGCTGTACGGCACGCCAGCCGTGCGTCCGCCCACGCCGCCGCCGCGCGCCGACCCGAATGCGGTGGGTGTGCGTTTTCTCTCGCTCGCTTTGCTGGTTGTGGGGCACGGTCGACGGGGACACGACGCTGTGGAGTCTCCGGGAAGCCGTTCTCGGTAGGGCAGTCCAGCAGCCCTGGCATTACGTGAAGTGTGTTGTTTTAGCAGGGGAGCGCTCGCACCCTTCTGTCGGTATTCAGACATTTGAGCTTTTCATGCCGTCATCTAACTATTTATGAGTTAAGTTGTGGTTTCTCGTCGACGTGAAAAGGAAAAGTGATGAAAACATCACGAGTCACGTGTCGGATTCGTGGGTGGAGCCATATTTGTCAGGTGCCCAGTGCCTACGTGTTTTATCCTGCTTCTGGGGGCTGTCTCTAGATTAAGGTTGAATATGTGTGTTATGTCATGCCATTGGGGCTTTACGACGCGCTCAGCTGCTGAGGCTATATGGCGTCGCCTGCCTCTGACCCTGGCAGGAAGGGCGGGCACCGCGGGGAATCGAACCCGGCACCTCTGGTACGGGGTGTTACGGGGAAAAAGGTTGAATAAAAGACGTTCTGTTCCAGTTCGGAGCGGACGCGCCACAGGCGACAGCGCTGTACGACTTCCAGTCTGGTGTGCCGGGCGATCTCAACTTCCAGGTGAGAATGCGGGACTGTTGTGGTGTCGTTCTTCTGGTTGACCGAAGGGAAGGAATGGGGCCAGCTTCTTTATCTTTTCGGACTGCTGGCCGGACTCTTTTGTTTGAGTTTGCTACTTGAAGGATTGGTGCTGGCCGCTTACTTGCCGCCGTCCAGTTTGGTTTCTTGCCGTTTGCGGTGTGTTACTTGCAGGATCTGGAAAATCTCCGTGCTCTCAGTGCCCTCCACACTCCAAGAGGCGATGCACTCCAGGACTGTGACTAGGTCAAATACGAGCTCTTCTCCAAACAAAGGGCTTTTTTACCAAGTTCGTGCTTGGGTATACAACCATGCATTTGGCTCAATCACAATGCCGGAGCACAAAACCCCCGAGTAGAAAAAGGTCACGAAGCGTCGTTTCCACGCCTGTTGCTGCCTCGTCGGCGGCGGCGTCTGACCCGCCCCTCCCGCCCTGGTCGGCAGGCGGACGAGGTGGTGTACCTGGAGGGGCGCGAGAATGCCGAGTGGCTGCGCGGCCGCTGCGGCCGCCGCCAGGGCATGTTCCCGGCGGCGTATGTGCGGGTGACAGTGCCGCTGGCGGACGAGGAGCCGCCGGCCGCGCGCGCCGACGGCTGGCCGGCCACCGCCCTCTACGACTTCGCGCCGCAGGAACCCGACGACCTGGCGTTGACGGTGGGTCCCTAGTGTGGAGCGGGGAAGGACACAGCACTGGCCACGGGTCACCAGCAGGGTAACGCGCGGCGGAAATCTGGGAAACCCGCGGCGACCTGGCGCTGACGGTGGGTCTCTAGTGTGGAGCGGGGAAGGACATAGCACTGGCCACGGGTCTCCAGCAGGGTAACGCGCGGCGGAAACCTGGGAAACCCGCGGCGACCTGGCGCTGACAGTGGGTCTCTAGTGTGGAGCGGGGAAGGACATAGCACTGGCCACGGGTCTCCAGCAGGGTAACGCGGCGGCGCCGTGGAGCCAGCCACAGCGCCGCAGCTGGCGAAGGGCTGTGGTGAAGGGCTCTCCTGCACTGTAAGTTTGTGGCTAGTAGGAGTGGAGAAAGGCTATGGGGCTGGATAGGAGCGAAGGTCTGTGTGTTACAGAACTCAGTCTCGCAAATTTTCGCAGTTTGACAAATCTTCGCAGTTTGGATGCGAAATGGCATCCGGGACAGAAATAATCGTGCTGTACCGTCCCTCTTCATGCTTCTAGTTTCCGCTCCTTGCCTTCGCATTCCTTTTTTCTCGGAATGTATGTGCATTCGGTTCTGAGCTCGGCATGTGCAACTGCAGTACTGAATGCAGTTGCAGCACTGATATGCGTGCATTCAGCCCATGGGACGAGTGTTATTTCCACATCGATCCATTCCGAAGAACAATCCATAAAGCTGTAATGCTTTACTCTGTAAATAATTGCACCTGCATTCAATTCATCACAAGAAATACAACAGTTATAGCTTTGTGTAATGCCACTTAAATCTCCAAGATTCCCACTCTGGCATACTACCACAATATGGGCTTAGATCCGAGGCAAATGGAATACCGCGGACAGGACATCTAGGAGTATGAGGGGCTCGAGCTGTAGGAACTTTCCAGCGAGCAGAATTTCCATACTGACCAGTTCGCGCGAACAGATGGGAAAGAGGCCTCCCCTCATCTCCTCTGACCTTGCCAGAGTGACAGGGAAGCTGATAATGGTTTTTACATCACCGCCCCAGCGCCCGTGGCCTGCTTTCTCGCGCGGCCGGCGGTTGTCGCCGGTAACCTGACCTGACCTGACACCTGCGTGTGCCGACAGGCGGGCGAGCAGGTGCTGGTGCAGGGCCGGCTGAACGACGAGTGGGGCTGCGGATCGGCCGGCGGTAGTGGCCCGGTGACCTGACTTGACCTGACACCCTCCGTGTGCCGACAGGCGGGCGAGCAGGTGCTGGTGCAGGGCCGGCTGAACGACGGGTGGGGCTGCGGGTCGGCCGGCGGTAGTGGCCCGGTGACCTGACTTGACCTGACACCCTCCGTATGCCGACAGGCGGGCGAGCAGGTGCTGGTGCAGGGCCGGCTGAACGACGAGTGGGGCTGTGGGTCGGCCGGCGGCCGCAGGGGCCAGTTCCCGCTGGTCTTCGTGGACGTGGACCCAGGCTGCCTGCCCGTCTTATGAGCGGCGAGCGGCCCTGCGGCTCTGCGGCTCTGCGCAGGCTGCGGGCGCCACACCAAGGGCCGGCCGGGCCAGGCGTCGGAGCGAGCGGTTCGCGCTTGGTGTCGCCGACTGTGTGGGAAGCTCGCCGCTGTCCCGCCGGCCAGCCATGCTGATGGACGTCGCTGCGCGGGATGTTGTTGGCCTGAAGTTTGTTTATTTATTATCAAAGTCTGCCGGTCACAGGGTGGCCTTACATGTGCCTTCAGGTGCATATCATGCGTGCTAGAGCAATCAGCTAGGCATTAATGCTGTGAGAAATGACTGTGCCTGCGTTGGATTTGGTCCTGGACGACAGGCGGCGTATTTCTCACCGGGATGTTGGGTCCAGTTTCTGCTTGTGATCCGATCCGCCTGCTGTGCCGGCGAAGAGCGTTGTCCTAATGTAGAATCGCCTTACAAAGCAACGTAATCAGACGTTCAGGTGCATACTAAGGCTGATAATTACGAGGACCAAGTAACCAGGCCGCGGGCATTGGCTCCCTTTCGGGGACTTGTTTAACTCCCCGCGTAGTGGACTGCCGGCTATTTCAAAATGTCTTGAAACGGCGTTTCGTTAGACGTTACGTTAGATTGCGACGGATTGCGTTAGGATCGTGGGTCGCCTGGCCACACGTGAGACTAAGCGCTGAGCAGCCCACGTCTGTCCAGCGCCGCTAAACTCTGGCAGCAGGGGCCAGTCTGGTCTTCAGCGGCATACCCGAGCGTCGGGCCGCTGCTGGGGCCCGTGCCGGTCTCGTAGCGGTCAGCGCGCGTGCCGGAGCGCCAGGAGAGTACCGATTATATGACGTAGCGTCGGGAGACAACGACGGACCCAGGCAATCGGCGCGAGGTGGAACAGGGGTCCGAGTGAGTGCTGGGGAGCAGCTGGAGGCGTGGCGCCCTCTCAGCCGCGAGCGCCGACGTGAGAGCCTTGCGGAATGCGCGCCGTCGCCCAGCTGGGGCCCGCTGCCGCGCTGCCGTAGGCAGCGTCCGTGCCTCCGTGACCCGTGCGGCCGTTGGTTTAGCCTGAGGTGGTCGCTGGAGCTCGGAGGTTCTTGGCCCGTCTAACATGAGTTGTGATACGTGTTGTGCCTGAGAGTGCGCCTGTCCTGTCCCGTACTAAACGTGCCTTTACTCTCATGCTCAGCGTGCGGTTACTTGTGCTGTCACTAGTCGTGAATAAATGTGGTTTCCGCCTGTGAAGCGGCGTGTTTTTGTAGCTTCTCTCGGCGTACATTTGGATACTAGACACACTGGTGAAGCCCTCAACCAACATCCCAAGCACCTTACATGATTGAAAGCCATGAAATGGGTGCTGCCCAGAGAAACAGTCGCGTTAAGACAGCGGTCCATTGGTAAAATTCGACACCTCGCCAATGGCAGAATGACTGGCAAAACACCGCCCTTTTGAACGCGCAGATTAGGTAGATGGATGTGAGCGGGTACGATAAGCCAAGATATTTCCAAAACCGAAATTGTAAACTCTATGAATGTAATAGCAACGAAATTTGAGGTTATCTGTGTTTGCGAAGCGCGGAGACAATTTTTGCTAGCAGTAATTTAAGAAGCAAACAGCAAAAGCAACAGCATCGGATAATTTGTAGCTCTTGTGCTGGCAAAGCAGAACACCAGATCACAAACAGCAACAATGAATGCAATTAAAAAACCTCGAGGGATCACACGTCAGAAATCCAAAAGTCAAATTATCATGGAGATCAGCGTTGTCCTAGCCCGAACCTAATGGTTGCCCCTCTCGCTGATGAAGAGAGGTGTCCGGCCAGATGACACGGAGTGTTGGTGTCGCAGATTCTCCGTCGACGCGGAGCCCGTGGCGAGCTTTTTAAATCCTGTCTTAGGGCTCCGCACTGCTGCCCGCAATGGCACCAAGAGTACCTTGGCATGAGCCGAGAGGCGTTTAAGGTCCTGATGGCCGATATCGGGCGACCTTTAGCCGTCAATCCACCAGCTTCCTCGAGCCGATCGGCGCTGCTGAACGCCTGGCCGCCTCACTGAGGTGTCATGCTTCCGTCGTGGAGTTCGCGTCTCCGACGCCGATTTACCGCCTTAGTGAGAGGACCTGCTGGGCGATCGTATGCGACACCTCTGCCGCAATCAGTTTTATGACACTTCTGCGTGGACGGTGGTGATACCCATTGACAACCACGGAAGTATTCACTCAGCTGAGTTGGGTGCCACTGACAGTGAGTTGTCTGCAGAATCAGCATCGTTTGAATTCACTCAATTTGAGCTGAGGGATGAAAATAATCAATTCATTTGCTGAATCGTGGCATAAACTCACTTCAGTGAGCTCTTGTCTTGCTGTCTCTCCCCGAGCATTCCAGGACCTCTTCCCCGAGCAACCGAAAACATCGTCTCGTTCAACTCGTCGGCGATTCGGCGCCAGGTCCAGTGCTGAAAACACGCTGAAAAGCTGAACACGCCGAACGGATTTTTCTGCCGTTCGGCGGCAGCAAACGAGCGCCTGCCTCCCTCTGCCCTTACGTTAACTTGCGTACTTCGACCGCTCGGCGCCGCGCCTTATTTTGCTAGTAGACGGCCGCCTTACACTGGTCTACTCTTCCCAGCGCGACGTTCGGTCGTGTTGCCTGGAGAAGTGACATTTGCTTTGGCTCGCGCGCCTGGATTGAAGATGCCAGAATTGTCTGTGCATGACGTGGCGGGTTATTAAATCTAACTGGTCCATGGGAGGGCCATGAAACTTGCTCTTAGGAAGTCTGGTAAATGTAAATTGGTAGGAGGTAGCAATGCAGTGAAGACATGTTATGGTTAACATGGAGACAATCTTCGGTATTTTAAAACCGTCTAGTTGTTGCTCCCATGTGTGTTGCAAGATATATGACGTGGCAATTGACGCTATTTTTCCCGCAGTTTGCTAGAGTTTCGCATCCATTTTCTGGAAAGGCAGCAATGCTGACGCCGACTTTTTGCCTTGTCGACATACGGTTGCGTTCAGGGACACAGCCAAAGTGGGGTGGGGGAGGGGGGCTGTCCGCGAGCCCGGGCTGATTCGTTTTAACCCTCTAGTAGCCTTGGTTTTTCACAGGGGTAGCTCCCGACAAAAACCTATTGGGAGATGCGTACTTACTGAGCTTCCCCCTCCTCCCGCCCTAGGATGATTTTGCTGCACTCCTGATATGGTCAGTGTGTTTTAGCCGTTATATAGCTTGGGTTTACCTATTTAAATGCCATAAATTTATGGTTTTTGTTTTGGACCTTCGTCGTTGAATGTGTTTTAGTGTCTTTTGGTCTTTAAGAGCCATTTTGTATTAATACTCACTTTGGGGTATTTCCTGGCTGTTTGCATTTGTCACTAGGTGGGCAGGAGGCGCCGCGGGCTGCACGTAGGCTGCGAAAAGTAGGGGTCGTAATTACGGTGCAGAATCAAAGATGTTAAACTGTATCTTTTGCAATTTTGGAGCTTTAATGCTCAAATAATCGGCCTTAACTAGCTGGTGCTGACTAACGACGTTATCAAGCAAGCAATGATTGTATTGACCTCATAACTCATAATGCTTGAGAACCAGGGGAGCGGGGAACTTCGTATTTGTACCAACGGATGTCTGATCCATCATTCTTCTTTGGAAATTGAACGTGATAGTTTTGAGGTCTGAAGGTTTGACTTGCTGTGGGTGATCATGTGCATCATCTCATTTGTTTGTGCCATGGGTTAATGAGTAGGAGGGCCAAATTGTGTGAATTTTCCTGTTGCATGCCTATCCCAGAGTAAGAGTGGCAACATTCACTACATTTCTGCATTTTTATTTTGTTATTAGCATCAGAATGGTGACCAAAGAAAGATGTACCATAAGGAGGCAAAGGTTTAAGCACAGACCCAGCCATGTGGGGTATAATGGACAGTTCCCATAGCCCACTGAAATTCTACCTTATGATGATAATCATTGTATGAGAAGTAGTCTTAGAACCTTAAGTTCTTGTTCCATGACCTAGGTAATTGATAATTTGTTTGGCAAGTAGCAGATGCCACTGGCAAGAGCATGAAGGCATGCAGGCCATGTACATGGTTTAGGTCATTTTACTCTACTGTCATGTCTACCACACAATTTTGTATGACTTGCCCTCCTTCAAATCATGAGCCACTGAGATATTGATATTTCCACTGACAGTCAGCTGCAATGTATGTTCTACTGCCTTGATATCTTAGACATCCTAAATGATATTCCTTCTATTTGTGCTAGCTAATTCAGCTATCAGTGCATTGGATTGACCTGAATAGTACTAAAGATGCATAGCATCACTTTGACCATTCCAATAGATATTTGTCATCATAATTACCACAAACCTTTTCCAACCAGGCTGATTTAGCTACTTGTTATAAAGTGGATGTCACTGATGCTTTGTCAGCTGTCACATTGCATGGAGTATTTGCCATCTAGCTTATGTTGGCTTTTGCTATGAGCTGGATAACAAAGGTTCTTGTGGTATCAAACGGATTCCATGCTTGACTCACTGGAGCTTTTCAGAGCACTTAGTTGTCCACATACAACTGAGGCCCAGATTTCTTATTGCTTTCAGCTAAAGAAAGATGTGCATTTCACACAGTCCTGATATACCATGTAAATCAGTATGTAAATAGTTACAATTGTTTTATAGGATGCATTCATTACAGCCTTATTTTGCAAGGAATAAACATTGGCTTGGTATGTTTTGCATGCAACTAATTAACAATTATTAGAGAAACTGCCTTAGGAATGTGCTTATAGAACAACATAAAGAACATGTGTCACAACCAAGAATCTTTATTGCATTACCTCTCATGTAGTCTTCTCTTAACTGTCAAGCACTAATTGAATGCATCCCAAGTGCACAAAATTCAGTATGGGATCCATCCTTATGCCTTGGCCACAATATTACTACATTGCAGGTCCAGGTAGTGAGTGACAGTGGCATGTCAGTATTTCACACCGTCATGCGCTACACAGCTCCACTATGAGCCAGCACAGGCTGCTTAGCATTGATTGTGTATGTGCTATCATGGTGCACCAAAGAAGTGAGTGATGCCACTGTTGTCATGTTGAAATGATGGATGCACAGAAAAGAGGAGACCTTGTGAGGCCATGCTTTCCCTGCAGCTGCTCATTATGAGCACACTGTTTCTTTGTCTGAAAAACAAGAATAAGAGACACTAAAAGCAGGTAGGATTTTGCAGCCTTTAAACAGACATGCACACATACAATATTTGGAATGGAGACAGGGCAGGTGTAGACACAGAAATATCATTCAATTCCTCATAGACAAAGAAAGGAAATTCATATATTTTATGAATAAAGATAAAGATGTGACATCTGCTGTTACTCTTTCTCTTGGTGCAGTTGTAAGCCATGAAAAGCTGTCATAACCATCTTAGCAAAATTGCTAGTGTCTCCTAACATAGGTGGGAGGTCCTTGGTTTGACTGTGACTTTCAGTGGCCTCTACCAGTTCCTACCCAAGAGATGACAGCAACTGGGAGTGATTGTTCCACAGTAGAATTTATGCTGTACCAGCCAGCATCTGCAGTGGTGGGTCACAGTCTGCCTTCAAATAAGCCTGTCAGCCCAGGGACCCACCCTAATGGCACAGCCTCACTTTGGGCCTCCCAAGCAGGCCCCTAACCAGGGGGTCCAGGAGATCGAGATAGGCCTGCTGTATGCATATGTGCCACAGTGGGCATTCTGACACTGAGGGCATGGTCAAGACTGGCCTGTGAGGGTGCCAAGTAAATAAAAGCTCTGCTGGGTATATTGTGCTGTGCTGAGCCTGTGTGCATGTACACTCATGTTTGGGGTGCCAGAAAATATCACTTAAAAACTTGCATTAGCATTATCTATGGGCCTTGATCTGAATGTGTGGTTGCGCTGCCTGGCATGCCACCCACCTTCATACTGTTTTGTGTTTTATCCAGGGTGACTTAAATGAGTTAGCAGCATGACGACAACTGAAGATATCCTGCTGCAAGCAAATAATGTCAGACACAAAAAGAGTGATGGTACACTCTTTCTCATGAGTGAACGCATTGGATGGCTAATGGGATCAAAAGACACCTTTTCTGTCAGCTACAAGTATTCTGACATTAAGAGTAAGTGTGCTTTTATTCCACTGAATGTATAGTTGCTTGTGTTCCCATGATGTGTGCATGACCTTTTTTGACTGAAATGTAATTTGGCCTGAAGTGCCTGACTTCAAGCACATGCACTGACTTCCAGATGAATTTGTGAACACTTGTATGCAAATAATATTGCAATTTGCCAGCATTGTTCAGATGAATGGTATGTAATGTATTGCACAGTAATGTGCTAACCTTTCTGGTTGCAATTGTTTTTTTGGATTGAAAACCACTATATGAGAGGGAACTAATGACATCAGATTGGTTCTTTATCTGACAAGTGTACAAGCTGGTTGAAATATTTCTTAAGGTTAACTTTATCCCGACTTAATGATAGTTTCAAACATGACAAATGGGTAGTAGTTTACAAGTTTACTGGTATTTGTCATGTGTTCAGAAGCAGTAAGCTCAAGATCAACACAAGCATGCATCTAGGACCATTTGTATTGATCTGTATTTCTATATCTGTTTTTAATGCAGATACCCATAACAAGAATAAGCATCTGCTATATTTGTGCATACTGAGAGGTGTATGATTTGAACCCTCAAAATGAAACGAAACATAAATAGTGCTGCAGGCGGCGGCGAGGTATGATCCGGTGGTCGGTCTTACAGTGCAGAAGATCAGCCCAGAGGGCAAGGCCAAGATCCAGCTGCAGGTGGTGCTGCATGATGGGGGTGCCTCCACCTTCCACTTCAACGCTCCTGACGGCGAGGAGGCGCAGAAGCGCGACCGCGACGCCGTCAAGGAGCTGCTGCAGACGCTGCTGCCCAAGTTCAAGCGCAAGGTCAACAAGGAGCTCGAGGAGAAGGAGAGGCGAGTGACACGTGGCGTCAGACCGAGTGCTTGGGAAATGGTTTTGGGTGCCAGTGTCCTTTTCAGTGTACTCAGTTAGTGTGACAAGCGTTTCGCTGAAGCTTTTCAGTTAGCGGTCATGGGCGCGGAACAACGTCGATGGTCGGTGCCCCTGGAACACTAATCACCAAATATTCAGTATGAGTCATTTGGTGGTTATGGCTGTTTGCATTGTATGTTATGGACTAACAAGCCATTTTCCTCTCCTTTGGTATGGGGGGAAGAATAAGCTAACTGCTTGAGAATGGGACATTCTGCAATGTGTTGTGCACAGTGATACCCGAAGGTATCACCGTGCATGTGCACGTACGGATGCAAACTGGGATTTGGTCTTAGATTATGACCACTACAAATGTATTTTGATATTCATATTAATGATCATCCCTAGCCTTTATCATTGCCTGTTTTCATAATTTTGTGGCGCTGCAAAGGGTTAGGCCTGCACGACCTTGGACCATCGCTGGCCGTGCCACCTGTACTGATCCTGATGGCCAATCCCGGCCGTTGTGAGGGCCCTGCGGCCGGTGTGCGGGATGCAGCCTGTCGCGAGCGCTCACGCCGACGCCACCGGTGCCGCTGCCGTCGCAGGCTGCTGCGGGAGAACCCGGCCCTGCTGCAGCTGTACCAGGATCTCGTCATCACGCGCATCGCCACAGCCGACGAGTTTTGGGAGCAGCACGCGGCCGAGTTTATCAACAAGACCAGCTGTAAACAAGACGTCGGCGTGTCGGGTGCCTTTCTGGTGGGTGGCGCCGGACCAGAGCAGGAGCGCCGCTGCCGGCGGACGCACTCCTGTCGCTGCTGCTGCTGTGTCTGATACGCGGAATGCTCAAGCAGTGTTTTGCCATGATTGAGAACGCGGGGGTGGGATGTGAGTGATAACCGAGCCCAGATCACTGTGGTGTACAAAGCCAAGGTCGTTACTTTGGGGTCTGCAAGTGTTCTCTGTGGTCTTCAGGCGGACATCAAGCCCCAGACGGACGGTTGCAATGGTCTGAAGTACAATCTCAACGTAGACACCATCAACTCCATCTACAAGACGTACCCGGCCGTGCGGAGAAAGTTTTTCGAGTACGTGCCGGGGCGCATGTCGGAGTCGGAGTTTTGGACGAGGTTTTTCCAGTCGCACTACTTCCACCGAGACCGGATCAACCTGAGCAGCAAGGACCTGTTCACCGACTGCGCCAAGCAGGACGAAAAGGGTAAGCATCTGTTTGCAGATCTTGCGACCTTATCTGACTTTGCATATACCCCATCTTTGTTTGCATGCAGCCTTTCCCTGCCTAGCCCACACCAAATAAGAGCTTTCACTTTTGTTTGAATGCCTTGACGGCTTTGGAAGATGCTGTTCTTGTTAATGTGTGTGAGTCGTCTTGTAGGCAAGAGAAGCGGGCAGTGCCAAGACCTGGGCAAATGTGGCCCACCACACCTAGAACACTGGCCAGTCGCTTATGGCCTTCCCCGCAATTACGCGGCTGTCACATGAATGCTAGAGTACAGCAATGACAAACAACGAAATGTACAGCTGCCCACGCGGGATGCCGCTGTGGCGTGAGCTCACCTCCGCGCCTCGTCCTGTGCTCAGTGATACAAGGCGAGCTGGAGAAGGACCTGGAGGACCCGATGCTGGATCTGCGGCGCATGACCGACACCACGGTCGGCGACGGCTACGGCACCTCCACGGACACGCCGTCCAGCTCGCAGACCAACACGGCCAACATCAGCATGATCCGACGGTGAGGAGACTGCGGTCACCGCGAGGACGTGCATCGGAGAGGCGTAAACTGGGCTGACAAGAGAAGCAGGGGAGGGGATGCGGCTGGAAGCGTCGCATCACATGCCAGGTCGGTGACGGCAGCGGGTCGCGTGTGGACTCACTGACGGGACACGAACGTGAGAGGTCATGCTCCGGCGAGTGCGCCGATGTAGAGGTCGTGCTCCGGCGAGTGCGCCGATGTAGTGGAAGAAGGTGGCGGCTCCAGCAGCGACACTGGCCAGGAGCAGATCCTCAGAGCTTTCTCTTGAGAAACATGTCAGATTGGCCAGGGGCATCTGTTCACCAGTGATGGCTGGTGAACAGATGCCACTATTCCGGTGGCTGGCCTACCCGAAGTCCATCGCCAACCTCTGTCCAGCCTGTCTGCGTCACGTCACCAGCCTGTCTCCGTGACGCGACGTGACGTGACGTGACGACAGCCGCGGACAGCTGGCCGCTGACCAGCGCTGCTCGCCTCAGGTTCAACCAGCACTCCATGAACGTGCTGAAGGCGAGCCTGGCGGCCGAGGCGACGGCTCAGCCAGCGGGCCAGCCGCAGCAGAACGGCCACGCCAGCGGCGGCGAGCCGAGCGCGCCGGCCGGCCCCGACCTGGCCGCCAAGAAGGTGAGAACGTGCGCCGCGCGTAGCCGCCGGCTGGCCTCGACCCGGCCGCCAAGAAGGTGAGAACGTGCACCGCCGGCCGACCCCGACCCGGCCGCCAAGAAGGTGAGAACGCGCGCCGCCGGCCGCCGCGCAGCCACCGGCCGACGGTGAGGCGTGGTGGCGGACAGATCGCACGCTGCGTCCGTTGCTCGGCGTGCGCAGGGTGAGTGGCGTGGTCTGTCCTACGTTTGGGTTGCGCTGCACGTCCAAATCGGATCGGAGCCAGACCTGCCTGCGTTCTGCAAGGGAAGTCAGGACCGACTCGGCCTACGTTTCTCGTGGTCAATGGAGACGTGCGTTTATGAAGGTGACGTTGGATTTGGGTGTTTCTCTGGCAACCTGTCACCATGAAGGCGCTGCACCATTTACAATTGCTAGCTAGTGTTAACTTTCGTGCAAGGAATAGCTGACACGGCTACACATGGCACCATGTCATTAACGCTGCTTGACTTCCTAAACTTATACGCAAACAGGACGTGACTTTTTCCGCTCTCTTTCTCCCGCACATTGCCCCCGCGACGATTGCAGCGTTACGCTGTGTTGTTTGTCGCGGATAAATACACATCCAGCTATGCCCCACCACCCGTCGGCCGCTGGCATGGGCTGGTGTTGACCTGAGCCGCTGTGCGCCCATCGGCGGCCGCTCCGTGACGGGTGCCGGCGTGCGCGGCAGGCACGGCTGGAGGAACGCACCTGCTACGCGGACCTGGAGGCGCCGGTGCCGGCCGCCGGCCAGGCGCTGAGCCTTACCAAGGTGGAGCGCTACCTGAGCGGACCGACCCCGGACGCGCCGCGGCCGGCCGCCGAGCCGCCGTCAGCAGACGCCGCCGGCCGCCTCTGTCAGGGCGTGCGCCGCTGGCAGCCATTCGCCGCCCGGGTGAGGCTGGCCGGGATCGGCGGAGACGCGCGCTTGGCATTACGGCCGCCCGTCAGGGACGCGTGGGCCGCGCGTCTCGGGGGGGGGGGGGGGGGGGTAAACCGCGGAACCTTTGGAATATGCGATATGTATGGAAACGACCAAATGCACTGAATGCCTACGAACTTGTGTACGTGAGACGCCTTCGAGATAAGCATGTTTCGCTACAAAAATGCTGAAATCTTGCGTACCGGTATCCTGCCTAGATGTGCGTGCCAGTGCTAATATTTGCATTATCTTCTTACCTGTTCCTGTCAGTCTCTAAGGCGCAGGCCACCGTGTCACACGATGTTATGCTGTCTGTTCCCTGCCCTGCGACCCCGTGCGTTGTGCAGGCGCCAGACCCGAGGATGCTGTGCGTTGCGCCGTATTTGTGTGGCAGCGTGTGTGTCCTGGGATCGTGACACCCGCCATGGCGCACAGGTGCTGGACCCGCAGGCGGCGGTCAGCGTGCTGGGCGACCTGTCGCCAGGAGGCGCCCTCATGAAGACCTCTCACAAGGAGCGCAACGCTGCCGGTGGGTACCCGGCTCCGCGGAGCAGGCAGGAGGGGCGAAAGTTAACGGTGATGGTTGATTAAAGTTGTGAGTTGATTCCGATGACGGTAGTTGCATTGCACAATTGGTATGAGGGTTGGAAGTACGGAAATGAAATGGTGAGCTGCTGGAAGGGATATAGGTCCATGAATGATAAATTGTAAGAAGAGATATCGGTTCAGGACTGATTAATTATATCATGTATTCCCTAGATGGATACTGATACAAGTGAACACAATAGATGGTAATGACAATATATGGTAATGCTTATAGCGCAAGACAGCACTATTTGTATCGTACCATTGTATGTACGAAATCACTATGAAGTCGTTTCCGTGACATTGGGATATTATTTTGCACAGCCGACCTACCGGACCAGGTAAAAACAGAGCTGGCTGCCATCTATCGGTCAGCGGGGGAACTGCTACGCCACTTTTGGACCTGCTTCCCTGTATCAACACCAGCGTTGGAGGAGAAGGTTGCCAAAGTGCAGGATACGCTCCACAAATTCCATCAACTCAAAATTCGGCAGTTTGAGGTGAGTTCTTGTGCTTGTAATTGGGTTTTAGTGGTTGGTCCAGTGCCTTTCCTCACCAGCTTGTAACATGCAGTGGAATGGGGAGATAAGCCACGATTTGCAAAGGCTCGCCCTGTTATTTTGTGGGGAAGCTGACATCAGGCCCAACTCCTATATATTGTATGCGAGCGGTGATCGCGTAGTGAACATTGCTTGTAGTTAACATTGCTATTCTCCATGCATGGACACAAGGCAAATTGTATTTTCCATCTGCGGATTTCTTAGAGCTTTTGTATTGGTGCTAGATCCGTGCTTGGTATTGCTGACTGACGATTAATTCTCACAGAGCCTCGTGCTGGTGCCCGTGAACCCTTCTGGCCTTCGTAAAGTCAAGGACCCTTGAAGTACCTGGGGAACGTCCAGGGTAGTTGTTCTGGAACACGCCAGTAATGCTCACACAATTTAAGCTGCTATAGAACTTGCAGAATCTGTCGTTAGTTGCTACGAAGCCTTTGTGATGCTGTGATCATCACCAGCATGAAGTCATGGCATGCACACTTCGCCGGGTGGGAGTGGGGCAGCGCCAATGTCCGTTGCTTTCGCTGGCTTTTAACAATCTTGGGCCGTAGTGCAACCTCTCCGTTGGATGGGTGCGTTGAAATATGGGCTGACACACTTTGGTGCGTTGTACTCTTGACCTCACAGTTTTAACTTCCTTCCATACCAATGCGTCGGGATATGAGGTGTTCAAAGTCTGCATTGCGAACATGTGTGAAACCGGCTCTTGGTGACGTACACTGAACACTTGGTGCACCCCTCCATCTTTTCTGGCGTTGCCGAACGCCTGAACTGATTGAAGGAAGTGTTCCACACTTGAAGATACTGAAACAAGCGTCGGATATGATGACTTGAGCTCACCTACAACCATTGGTATACTTTCAAGCGGAAATGCCGCTCTAGACAACAGAACTTCCTTTTTCGTGGGTGTGTTTTTTCAAGACGTCATTGTCTGACTGTGTTATGGTACTTTTGTATGCCATTAAGGTGCTGCCAAATTAACCGTGCCAAATTGCCACCCTAGCATTAACTTGTACTTTAGGCTGGCCTAGAGATGGCAATGGCGGCGCTGCAAGTGTTCGCTGAGCCAAATATCTTCATGCGCCCTTGTTTTGGCCCGCTTTCATCACGTGTGTCCGTGAGTTTAATGTGTTTTCTTATATTCACTGTACTCGGTTATGGCGTTATCAAGTTATTTGATTGCAAGTATTATTTCCGTCATTACCAGCAAGTGAAAGCATTTTTCCAACAATTTTACAATTTTATGCAATATTTCCGACTTTTGATAAAAGTACCACAAGATATGATCCGTGGTATGATCCGTGGTTGAAGCTCGCGCCGCTTGCTGAACATCGATTAAGAACCAACTGACCCCTACGATGTTGTAAAATCTTGTTCATGGAAGCCAGATCGGAATGGCTGGACGATAATACTCCTGGTCCTGAACGCCGCGGATTTGAATGGCGTTGCGATAGCGTCTTGCATGCTTGAATGACCTTGAAAAAGTCGGCACGCAATACCAGCACATGCGGGCGTGTCGCTTAGAGACCAGAAGGCTTCGGGTGTCGAGAAGGGCAGAGCTGTTAAATACACCGAGTGATCTTCAAAATGATCATTTCAGTCCAAAACTTTATACAAATATGGAACGCTACCTTAAGGTAGCATCATCAGGGCCTATAACATCTGTGGAAATCGTATGAAGCTAGGCCTGTTAGGTTCAGATCGTGAACTGACAGACTAGCTAACACGTCGGTATATTTGACTCAAAAAATGTTTTATGCCATTGACGAAGAAAGTCCTTTTAATTCGGGTTCCAGGCGATCCCTCGAAGAACCATGGATAGCTTGTTTTGCAAATTGCTGAAAGTTATTCTGTTGTACAATTTCCAGCACACTTACATAGGCTTGGCATGTGCATTGCAAGTACAAGATAATACGAGGGCAAAGTCGTGTATGCGTATCCGTACGATGTCGGGCCGTGTAATGCAAAGGAGTAGCATGGCCTTGAGACAACCTCATTGTCCTGCGCAATTTAATGGCAGTGGGCTTTAGCTTAAGCGCGCCGGTATCGCCGCCCGCCGCAAAGTGGTGGGGAGGGAGGATGCGACCACGCTCACTGCTGCTTCCTTCGTCCGATTTTGCAGAAACAGATTCTGCTCTCGATGTTCTGGAGGAAAACACGGGAAAAGCTCCGTGAGAGACACACACTCGACATGTTTTAGCTACGCCATTTTAGTATCTCACAAGTAACCTATCAGGCGGATTGGATTGTTTTATTATATTGTGCAGACATTGTTTATATATATATGTATGTATGTATGTGTACGGGTATATATGCTTATATATCTTGTATTTTAATCAGTTATTCACCTGGTGACTGGAGTTGGTATGTTTTGGACCACGCGTGATCTTAAGCTTTTGGACCCTGTTTCCTATCAAAGTGTAGCCTTTGGACTACGTGTCGTGCAAGAGTCCAGTTAGCACCTGCAAAAAATCTGCTTTACGGACCAAATAAACGGAGCTAATTTTAGCGAGCCCCAGTTCAATGGGCAAACAATTTTATATGGGGCACAACACATCTAGCGGTATGCTCAATCAGTCAATCAGCAATTATTGTTGACAATTGATTTGCGATTTAGTGCTGCTGATAAGTGTACCTGTATCCTGGCTGAATGTCTCTGGCCGGCCTCTGTCGTGTTGTGGGGCGTGGACATGCGCGATGTGTCTGGGTTGTCTACCAAAGACCTTGACGCCGGGTCTTTTCACTGCCAAGCCCAGTGACGTTCGTGTCAATGGTTACCTGCTGGGGTGCTATGGTCGACATGCTATCGATGTGTTATCGATCACTGAGGAACGGTGCCGAAACAAAGCCGTCGCCAAGACAATCGATCCGCGCTCAAATGCATGGTCAGTAGCGTGTAGGCTCTGGTCGATTGTGACGGACAGACTATGACGGCACCGTCCGTGGTGGGAACGGTGTAGCTCGCGGTCGACTGCGCCAGAGTGTGACCTGGGGACTTAGCGGAAGGGAGAGGGCGAGGGCACGTCTAGAGTATCGGCGTTGTTGACATCGGCTTGAGATTTCCGAGACAAGACGACCGCTAAAACGAAAAATTTTCGACTGAGCGGAGGCGTGTTCCATTCACCAAACTAGAGGGGCACATCAGCTAGCCGTGCGTGGGCCGGTAGGTCGTGACCGCGGCGGAAGGACGACAGCCGTGTGGCCGGTAGGTCGTGACCGCGGTGGGGGGAGGGGGGGACGACAGCCTTGCGTGGGCCGGTAGGTCGTGGCCGCGGCGGGGGGGACGACAGTCGTGTGGCCGGCAGGTCGTGACCGCGGCGGGGGGACGACAGCCGTGCGTGGGCCGGTAGGTCGTGACCTCGGCGGGAGGGGGGACGACAGCCGTGCGTCGGCCGGTAGGTCGTGACCGCGGCGGGGGGACGACAGCCGTGCGTGGACGGGCAGGTCGTGCCCGCGGTGGGAGGACGACGCGCTGATGACTGGCACCTCTCCGGCAGGACGGCCTGTGTCGACAGGCGGGCCTGGGGCCGGACGTGACGGCCCACCTCAACCAGATGTTGGCCGCCGCCTACGCCAAGTATGAGCAGTGGCGCTCAGTGCGCCGGCTGCAGCGGTAGCGGCTGTGATGGGCACGGGGTGGGGCGGCCCGGGAGCCGGCCGGCCGCCCGGGCCGCCCGCCGCCGGCCACCTAGTCTGGCCGCCGGTGGGCGCCGCCGCCGGTTGCTGTAACCGTTAATTTATGAACACAAATACAGTCGAAGGTTGCGTACAGTTGTCTGGTGTCAGCTGGAGGCGCGACGGCTTTGCTTGTGTGAGACAAGCGGGGCTGAGTGCATGTGGAGCGAAACTGCGGTTTGCTTCCATGTGACTTTTCAGGACTGGGTCAGGTAAACAATGCGACGAAATGATGGAGGGCAGATCGTGTGTGAATCACGGTTCCGACACGAAGCACATGCCCTTAGCGGGCCGCTGCAGGGGTGCCATGTGAGGCGCTGTTTCGCGCTTTGTAACGACGTTAATTATATGTAGGTACACATGTTGACCAACTTTCGGCCCCACCCGTACTCCGCTTTGCAGATCTATTTCATGAACAGTTTGCGTGCGTAAATGGTGAACAGGGACAGTGCAAGTGGCAGTTTGAAGAGCACTAACCATAGAAGTTTGCGGTATTGGTTTTCCACCTGATCTATATCGTATTAGATGTACGAAAGCAATCTAATCTAGAAACGGGTGTCGCAATCTTTCACGTATGTGATGCACGCGAGTAACATATACCGCACACACAAGAGGCAAAAGTCTGCGGAGGCGGTGTCAGATTAGTTGGGAACTGAAGCAGAAACATTTATTTCTTGTTTTCTTATCGAACAGCATACCTAGGGATTTTGTATTGCCAACACGACGCACAAGGACGGCACTGATACTCGGGAGGCACACACGACAGGGACATTCGAGGGCGTCGTTAAGTTAGCCGCCTGAATGGGACACAAATGTATCGAGACCAGTTTTTACAATTAGTCTGTCTAGGCTGCGGTGATATGAGCACCATTTTCGGCATGCGTGGAACAAAAGGTAACAGCAGCGAAATCAGATGGCGTACAATCCTTCATCAGTGTGGGAAGGGTACAATATGGGCGCCATATGACCAACGTAGTCGGTGCGCCCCAAAGCCCAAATCATCATCATCATCATCATCATCATCATCGGAAGGGTACAATAAGCTGTTTTCGGTAGCCGACCTAGGTATGCGGTGCATTGCCCGGACGGGTCTTGCCAGGCAGCCTTTGCCTGTTTTTGACAGTTCATAATTTAGCACGCGCCCAGGTGGTCGGTTGAATGCCCTTCGCTCGGATGGGGGGCGGGGCAATTAAAACCCCGAAGATATAAAAAACTCAGAGACCTGGAGGCGCCAAATTCACAGGGTGGGTTGGCCTAAATGTGAACTCGCTTGTGCCAAAACTTGAGATTCCTTCCTCATGATCGGAGTTGTGCTTTCCGATACAATTGGGAGGCTTTAGGTCCCCCTCAACTTTGGAATGAAAGTGGGCCAAATCTGCGGAGAAACCTATTTGGTTGTATATGCTGGGGAAGGTGAAGTCATTTTCACTATTCAGTCGCCACTCCCCCTTCCCAAACTCATTTTGTGAAGCTGCACCACCGGTCATAATCCTCGAGTCAAATAAGGTCAAACAAGGCGAAACTCCAGATTGGTGTCCGAAGTACTTACAGACCTCACGCATCCGTCGTGAATCTAAGCGCATGTTCTAACCACAAAGTCACTGGTGTTTATTTAAAGTTGGCGCACATGTCATTTCCATCGTGTTCATTTAAGGTGACGGCCTTTTATGACCATTAGGGGGTCAAGGTGCCCGAGTCTTACGACATTGCGCTGGTTTTGGCACTTGAATAAGCTTCAAGGATTTCGCTGGGCGGTACGTACTTTAAAAAAGTGTTGACCTGGGTCACTATAAACTAGTGGCCTACTCGGACCGTAAAGAAGTCCATACAATATGTTTATTGCCGTCTCTGATGTTTATGAATTCGAAATGATCACCAGAAGCTACCTCATACAGCAAGCTCTCGAGTAAAAGGCAGGTTGATTTGGACCTCGGTCAGACCAGCAGACCAGACCCTAGGTGAACAGAAACTGTAATCCTTAATCGTTGCATTACCTAAGAAACTATGTCAGATATTTATAGCTTCGTCAACACTCCGTTGATATATCAAACTGAACAAATCCCTAGACATTGCCTTTTCTGACATCCACGGTCTGATTTTGACCTGCCATAGGTCAGCGACCTTACGCGATACATCTATTTGTATATACCAAAAGGTGTGATGTTTATTTTTCTACAGGTATGCAAAGTCTGGCGCGGCTACGCGTAACATGTTCAGAAATTGTCCTGTAAAAACTTTTTGGGTGGTCAAATTGACCCTCACCCGGGTGCGTGTTAACCTTCATGCATCCGCCTGTGGCTTTCACGAAAGTAGTTGATCGATATTTTTCTAAAATATTTGCAGCACTGTTAACTGATTTATATATCGCCATACCTTTTACGGCATTCAAATGTTGAAACCCAGTGTGGTAGTTTCAATAGTTTCCATCATTGAAATAGCAGAACCCAGCCATTTTTGTTTTCGCCCCATTTTCCAATATGCCTGAGTACGATATGAGCAGTTCGAAACGGTTTGCAACTAACACGAGCGTTTAGGACCGAAGTTGATATTTTATCTATTTGGGTGTAATCCATGGTATGATGAGCATGGTAGCTTGAAAAATTTCAAAATTGAATTGGAATTCACGCTTAACAAGCGCTTGGGAGGGGGTCAATTTGCCCCAGCCTCCCGCAAAAGTTTTTTTTTCCAAAATAACTTACGGCGCGGCGTAGTCGCACAAAGCTTTGCATTGCTATAACAAGTTCAATAGTAAATATTTTCATATCAAAGCATAGGTGTTCTTCACAAGGTCCCTGAGGTATGGCAAGTATTTCAGATGCAGTGTTCATGCATGGTAATATTCACAGACTGACTTACTTGCTTAGGTCCCTTGGCAAGTTAATATCAGCCCATGGATGTCAGCGAAGGCAATTCCTGGGGAATCGTTCAATCTATGTTGCTGAGTGCTAGACGAAGCCATGCATCTTTCAGATGGCTTATTGGACAAAAATGCAATTAAAATTAAGATTTCTACAGTCATTTAATTTTAGTTTGGTAATAAGGCCAGGTTTACGTCGAGGACAAATTTGTGTTGTTCAACCTCATAAAGGTCAGATTAGGCCACTGGCCTAGAATGACCTCGATCAACCTTTTACTTCTTATGAACGTATCGCCTAACGTAATATTTAACGCTTCTTTAAATTAAAGAATGAGAACAACCACGCGGGTTTGTTACCAGCGTGACCTTTCCAAGATGAAGTAGGTAATTGACCGGAAATGGCCACCAGTGGCCTTTTGCTAAGTCGAGTTATCCAGATTAAAGGCGGATAGGCGGCGGCGTAAATGCGGATTATCCACATGAGGCTGACGGAGCCTCGTACCGATCTGGAGTTTGACCTTATTTGAATTTTTTTCCCCGAGGATCACTACTAAGGGACCTAAAGGTATGACACAAATGAGTTTGCACAACGGCCCATATATTCTGTGAATTGGATGTCTTTAGCTCTCTTAATTTGTTTCAACATCAAGGGCTGTCAAATTGACCCCCCACAAGACAGCGATGCCATATTCATTCCCCTGCCCCCTCCCCCAGCGCATGTATGTGTCTGCACGAATTACTGAATAAAGCCATCGGCATATCTGGCATGCTTGCATAGTACTCTATGTTGTTGTACACATTAATTTGTTCTTAAACCTCTGCTTTACATCCGTGTGCAAAATATCATTCACATCTTCACATCCATCCGTGGCCGTCCCGATGGCTCCAGTTGGTTAGAGTACCTCCCTTCCGATCCATCCATTCGTCGTAGGCTGAGTTGGAGTCGCTTTTAGGTCGACTTTGGTTCACTTTAGGCCCCGTCTATTTGTCCCTGACCGATATACTGCGGCCGGCGGCAGCAGTCGTGGTAAAAGTTAGGGAACGTCAGGGTACAGGAGGGACCATGCCGAGCATTGCGGCACGTTAAACTGTCATCATCACATTGTGCCGTTGACCTGGAATTGCACGATCGGATGGTATGGGCCACACTCCAAACAACAAGCACTGCTTAGCGTGTGCTCTGACCCCAGGAATACATCTGTTTGAAAAGGTCCAGATTATTTGTTTGCTTATGTAACACGTCAATGAAGATGGCGATTAATTTAGCGATGCTTTTGCCGACGATCTCGAAATTCAATACAAGTACGTCAGATAGTCAATGACGACAGGGACACCCAACCTGATATCTGTTTGTCAATATCCCACGATTTTGAAGGTCAAAATCAAGGTCAGGTGACAGGAAACTCCTCATTCCCCAAGAGCCACCAGCCGATTTGTATTGTTTAAGCTGCAGAATCTTCTTCGGCGCATGGTTTAAAACGTAGGGCACATGTCGTCAGTTCACACTTGATAGCATTAAGTACAGACAGCGCATTAAGTCCGTCCATAAGTTTTTTCCTTTTAACACGCTGTCATGTGGGTGTCAGCTTGACCCTTCCGAAGGTTTTTCCAGAATGATTTGCGAACAGCGCGGTGTAGCCGCGCCAAATTTTGCATAGCTGTAAACAATTTAATATCAATTCGTTTGGCGTCAAAGATTTAGATGTACCTTATAAGGTCGCTGACATATGGCAGGTCAAAGTCAGGCTATGGTTTCAGCGAAGGCAATTTCTAGGGAATCGTCCAATCTGATACAATAATGCAGTGTGTGACGAAGCCATACATCTCTGAGATGCTTTCTTAGGCACCAAAATATTGAATGAGCAAATGACGTCGACCGAAGGTCAGGTGTATAGGTCGGGCCAAGGTCACAACCAACCTGATTTATTTCTCTAGGGCTGGCTGTATGGAATAGTTTGTGGTGCTCATTTCGAATTTATTGACAGCAGGAACCGCATTATAAACCCTCCACTGACTTCTTAAAGGTCAGAAAAGGTCATTGATCTGAGATGACCTGGGTCGATTTTTTTTAGGAACATGCTGCCTGGCGTAGCCTTTGTCGCTTATTCAAATGCAAAACTCAGAGCAGTCTTGTATGATGTTGCTCACCATGACCTTGAAAAGGTCAAACAAGGTCATTGACCCCAAATGGGCTTATGACCTTTTGCTTAGAAACAGTTTCCTAGGTT